TGCTCTCCCCCGTTAAGGTCTTGTCAAGTATCTTAAACATTATAGATATTTAATTTGTGTTTGCTACTGTAATGCTTGATCAATTAATTAAGAATAAAGAAATGCAGGAATAAACAGATGAGTTAGATAAACTGGGAGAGCTTTGCCAGTAATCTCTGATATATCAACAAATATGGTGATAGACTTCTCCAAAGACTAGATCCTTGTTACAAGAGATGTCTTACATTTCTCTTGAGAATTTAATGGTATTACACAGTAGAAGGAAAGTTCATTTGTTCATACCCAAGCTTCTTGAATGACTTCTCTCAGGATATTCTATGTTTTCTTTTCATTTGGTCTTTAAAAACTGTTCCAATCTGGCTTCACCAACCACACCACCATAAATACTGCCATAACTGGCAGCCAGTGTCACCAGTGATCTGCACATCATTAGATTCTATCAATTTTATGTCTGACTGGACTGTGCAGAAGCTTTAGCCACAGTTAAGTGTCTTGTCTTCATCACCCTTTGCTTGGCTTTTGCAACATGAAATATTTTTAATTTTCCCATTGCTTCCATGGCTGCTCTTTCCTCATCTCCTTTTACCAGTCCATTCTTTCAGTGACTTAAACGTTGAAGCTCCTCAGACAGCTGTTCTAGATTCTTGTTTCCACTTCTCACACTGTCTCTTGGCAATTCCATCTACTCATGGCTAAAATTGTAGTACCATCTAGCCATATGCTGTTGTCTTTCAGGTTTATTTTTTCCAGCTGAGAACTCGTTGACTTGACATCTCCATGAACCTCTAACTCGGTGTGCCCAAAACTATGCATAGCATGCCCCTGCCCCCACAGAATCCTACACCCCCTTCCCTGCTTCCAATCTCAGTGAATAGCCTTGCCACTCACCGTGTCAGGTTATAAAAACTACCCTGTAAATATTTTTTCATCCACTTCTTTTCATCTCCATGCCACCATCATTACTTCTTGAGAGTACGAAAATAACTTTTCACTACTCTATAAACATCTACTTTTGCCACCCTCAAATCCCTAGAATAGCTAAGGTGATCTTTGTGGGAAATGAAAATCTAATTTTGTCATCTGCTTCAGTAGATCCTAGCAGGATCTTTGCTCTCAGAACACACTTCCATATCATGGGCATGCCTGATAAGACCTCACCTCATCCAGCCCTTGTTTATTTATTTCTCCTTACCTTCTGAAAGAAGCCTCAGATCTTATAGCACATTGAAAAAGAGGTTTTCCCCAACTCTTTTTATGAGATTAGATGAATGTATATACAGAAAATCCCATAGACATAAGATTCCCTTTGGCAGCACTCATCACATTTAAAATTATTGTATAAAGACCGCACATCTTGACATATTTGGAGTTCCGTGGGAGCGATGATCAATGTCTCTCTTGTTCACTCTTCTGTTCCTCAGTGCCTGGCACCAGTCGAGTGCATAATAAATATTGATTAACTGAATATTGAATAAATGAATATGTTCAGAGCATGACCTTGCATTTGAACTTTTCAGTGCAGCCTGACATTTTGTATGTTCTGTGTACATACCACAGTGTATGTAATTACATGTTGTAATATGCCACAGAAAAGATTATCTGAAGATAGCAGTGGTACCTATTTTAACTGCTTTTATCCTACAAAATTTACAAAGGTCAGATCTGGATAAGGAATGAGCTAAGAGACTATATCCTTAAAGGCCATGTTATATTCATAATTTCCTTTTTTAAGGTCAACACAGTGAACACTTATAAAGTGTTCTTGTGTTTTCTGATTTCTAATAGATACTTTAATACTGCTCTCCTAGAGTGATGCAGAGAGGGGAAAAATTGGCCCATGCAATTAATAGTGACACAAAGATGATATTCTAATTTACTCGTTTAAATAATCTGTTAACTTTTGAGGTTATAAAAATAATAGATGTCCAATGAAGGCAAAGATATGTAAGATAAACTTCTCCCACCTCCATCCAAATTTACTGTTCTGAGGTAATCGAAGTTGACAGTCTATTGTACATCCTTGCAGTCTGTTTTCATGCTTATGTAGATATATAACTATATATCACTTAGAGACCTTAATGTTGGCTTATTTAGAAAAATAGGATTAATATACATTTCTCTGCAGATTAGATTACTCTTTAAATAACAATTATAAGCATCTTTCAAAATTAATCAACTATTCATTGACTTTAAACTACATAGTTTTCCATGGTAATGATAAACAGTCTTTAATTATATTCTCATTGGTAGGCATTTATATCATGTCCAGGGTTTTGCTACTACAACCAATACTGTAAAAATAGGATTATATAGGCATCCTTATATGATACTGCCTTTATTTCTAGAGGATATGTTCTCAAAGTAGGGTAACTCAGTCTGAGCCTATGTGTATTTGTAATTGTTTAATTTTAATTTTAATAGGCCTTATGTTCTGGACAACTGCAGAATTTTATATTTCCAAGATGGCTGCCTTATCCTCACATTGCCTCTCACTACATTTCAGCCCTTCTGAATGTCAGCAGTGCTCTCCTTCTAGTTTCTGGGTTAAGGAACAACTTCTTTGTATTTATCTTAAGGATATTTCTTTCTCTCAGTTGTACCTGCTCTACTCTTCCCCAACAAATAAGACTCACAGTTTGCCCTTGACAGCAGAAAAACTAAATGTGGGTGAAAAAAATCCCTGAATATCTCAGTAAACATACACAGTAGGAGACATTTCAAAAATATTGCCATATACAATTAAGCCTAAGCCTTGACTGAATTATTTGCCCAATAATCTCATCCCATGAAAAGGTGGTCTTCAAAATTATCTCATATACTCACTCCCTGAAGTGCCTACTGATGAGAGCTTTACAATGTCTCTATTTTCCTACCTTTCTCCACTTTCTAGAACCTGAGCTTTCCTAAGATAAAGTTTGAAACCCATGCTCTTATTAGGTCTTCATTTATTTTTCTTTTTTCCAGAATCTGTCTTTAACACATATTACAAATTTTCCGAAATGTAATCATCTTCCATTTACTTTTAACTATATTCGCAGAATTTATTTCATTCTCATACTGCTATGAAGAAATATCTGAGACTGGATAACTTACAAGGAAAGAGTTTTAATTGACTCATAGTTCCACGTGGCTGGGGAAGCCTCAGGAAACTTATAGTCATAGCAGAAGGCAAAGGAGAAGCAGGCACCTTCTTCACAGGATGGCAGGATGGAGTGAGTGCAAGCAGGGGGAATGCTAAATGCATATAAAACCATCAGATCTCTTGAGACTTACTCACTACCAGGAGAACAGCATGGGAGAAACCTTCCCTATGATCCAGTTACCTCTGCTTGGCTCTGCCCTTGACACATGGGGATTACAATTCAAGATGAGATTTTGGATGGGAACACTGCCAGACCATATCATCTTCCTACCTTTTGTTTTCTCTCCCTATTTTGAGATCTCTGCTCTGATTCAATTGTCATGATATGGTTAGAGTAATTTTTCAAATATTACCCTCAGATAAGGTACATGGAAACTATATATTCAGAACTTTTGGATGTTTCAAAGTGACAGTCTTTGCTCAGATAGATGAATATCTTGGTAGAGTTAAGCTTGGGTTACTATATCTTTTTTCCTCTTAAGTTACTACAGATGTTACTGTCTCTTTGAACTTAGAGTATTACAGATAAAAGGTCTGATGCTCTTCTTTTCCTCTTTTCTTTGTAAGTAATCACATCTGCTTTGTATGAAGCTGCTAAAGTTGCCTTTTAACATTGTAGTTTGGAAATTTCAACTAGATGAGTTCAGGTGTCTGTATGTTTCATTAATCTGTCCTCAGATTCAGTGAGCTATTTCAGTCTGCAGACTGATGTTTCTTTGTCTTAGATAAATTTTCTTCTATTATTTATTGACTTATTATTTATTCTTGTGTGTTCCTTCTTCTCATTCTGGAACTCATACTATTTATATGTTAGGGATCTGAGTCTGTCCTCCAAGCCTGTTACCATTTAAGGTAGTTTTTGCTCCATTATACAGTAGCCCCCCCCTTAGCCACAAGGGATGTGCTTCAGCCCTAGTGGATGCCTGAAACCTCTGATGGTACCAAATCCTACATATACTATATTTAAAAAATGATAAAACTTAATTTACAAATCAGATGCAGTAAGAAATTAACAACAAAAAAAATAACAAAATAGAACAACATTAACAGTATACTGTTTTGAAAGTTACATGAATGTGGTCTTTCTCTCTCTCAAAATATCTTACTGTAATCATCTATTTTTGTACCATGGTCGACCATGGGTAACTGAAACTATGGAAGACTTGTGTTCCTTGTTGGCAGAGCTGTATTCCTTTCTGAATTCTCTAGGAAGTAATCTGTTTCCTTGCCTTTCAAGATTCTAGAGGCCACCGGTATTCCTTGGCTTATGGTCTTTTTCCATCTCATAAGTCAGCAACATTGCATATCTTTGGCCATGATTTAGTAGTCAGTTCTCCCTCTTACCCTTCTTTTCTGCCTCTTTTTTTTTTTTTTTTTTTTTATTTTAAGGATACTTGTGATTACATTTGATCATAATCATCCAGATGAAGCCAACTGGATAATCAAAGATAATCCCCCCATCTCAAGGTCCTTAATCACATCTGCAGATCATCTTTTGTCATGCAAGATAATATTCATATATTCCAAACATTAGGATATGAACGTATTCTGGGGGCCATTATTCGCTCACCAGACCTATGTTGTGAAATGGTTCTTACATTACATCCTTCAAACCTCCAATTTTGTAAACATCAATAATTAGCTAAAAGATAGATGATGATGAGGACTGAAAGAAGAACTCTAATAGGCCTAGTAATCATTTCCAGAGCTGCTTGCAATTACGCTGTCTCAGAATGTTTCCTGTTAGCCTTCATAAAAGTTTATTCATCAAGTTTATTCCCTGGTACAGCATTCTCCATCATCAGTCCAGAGTTACCATGGCTGGAGTGACTAACCACGTGCTCTTGTTCTCTCATAGAATCCAGTGAACATGAAGATAAGAGTGCAGGTGCCTCAGGGGAGATGCCCTCCCAGCCTTATCCTGCCCCAATGTACAGTCAGCCTGAGGAGCTGAAGGAGCAGATGGATGACTCAAAGCCAACTAAACCTGAGGACAGTGAGGAACCAGACCCATTGCCTGATAACTGGGAAATGGCCTATACAGAGAAGGGTGAAGTCTACTTCATTGAGTGAGTTTCACACATTTCTTTCAAGAGTGCCATAAAGATCATAGCAGGATATAAATGATGTAGCAAATGAGACGTGGTTTAAAAAAATGAAATTCTTTTGTTTCTGGTAATAGCTTTTTTCTTGGCAAGAGAATAATGGGATAATGCCTTAACACAGTTAAGGATCCTGGAATATAGATATAAATCAAATAATGGATTAAATAATTGCACCCTAAAATCTTTTATAATCATGACTAAAAAAAAAAAACTCCATGTGATGCTATTATTAAATTAGGAACAGTCTAGATATCACAGGAAAATGCTTATTCAGCTTCTTCCAGGACCCCCATCTTGTCCAAATGAATTTTTTTCCTATTGTCTAAGCTAATTGCAGAAATACCCACCATAATGTCCAGGAGTTTAATAGAATGCAACTATGTAAAGTATTAGGTCACAAAAGAAAACAAAAATTGATGTTGGTTTTTTATTTTTGAGTTAGGGTCTTACTCTGTCGCCTGGGTTAGAATGCAGTGGTACAATCACGGCTCACAGCAACCTTGACCTCCCAATCTTAAGCAGTCCCCCACCTCAGCCTCCTGAGTAGCTGGGACCACAGGTATGCACAACCATGCCACCAAGCCTGGCTAATTTTTGTATTTTTTAGTAGAGATGGGGATTTGCCATGTTGCCAAGCCTAGTCTCAAATTCCTGGGCTCAGGTGATCACCCACGTTGGCCTTACAAAATGCTGAGATTGTCTACAGCCAACCACCCTGAACATGCCTGATCGCATCTGATATCGGAAGCTAAGCAAGATTGGGCCTGGTTAGTACTTGGATTGGAGACAAAATGCTGAGATTACAGGGGTGAGCCACTGTGGGAAGCCAAAGAAAATGTTTTCAGCATTTGACCCCAACGTCGGATGTCAGTAAAATAATTTGGCTTTGTATAGCTCGTTATACTTCCTTTTGCTATATTCCATTCTATTAGTTGCTTACAATTTTTATGACTTGCTAAGGAAACTATAGTACAAATCCTGAACTTCTCCTACTCTTTCTTTTCGGACATTTTTTTCAAGATATAATTTTCATATACATCTTATTAATAATGCCAGGCTTTTCTTTAGCTTCTAGGATTAAAACAACTTTTTTTAAATTCCGAAGTAGAAAATCTTAGCACAAAATGAAATTCTTGGTGTGCCTAAGACAACGGTGTTCATTAGAAAGAACTGAAACTAACGAAAATGAATAACCCTTATCCTGTCAAAGTTAGAGAAGCCTCAAAGAGAAAAACTAATAGAAACTGAAGTGTTCAGTGTTGACAGTGGATAAAAATATGTAAACTCTGATTATTTAAGAAACACACTGAAACTGGATTTCCTTTTCCAACCTGGAGTGATTTATAACTTAGATCTCTATAAGCAGAATTCAGTTGTGAGATTGAAATGCTACCACATGCCAACATTTAATTCTCATGTGAAACTGGAAACTTTGATGCATGCGACCAAGGGGCTGCATAAGCCAGTCATTACTCAGTTCTCTGCTTGACTCCAACATGGATGAGAAATGTAGTGTTTTATGGAAAAGGAATCAGTAACATTCACCTTTCAGCAAATGTTCTAATTTTAAAAGGAATAAGAATCTCTTACATTATTTTTATTGCTGTAATCAATGACCAAGACATCTTTTATCAATTATTTGGAAAATAGAACATCAGAATGTTTAAAAAGTGACCAACTAAAAATAATAATATACATATGTAGAAACATAATTTTGATATTGATAAAGATAGCATGACATCATTGCAGACCAGAAGTCAAAATGCAAATCTTAGATGTGAAGTTGTAAATAGATGTTCAGAACAATTGATGTTTGGAATAAGGAAGCAGATGACATACTTATTTTTATTACATAAGACCAGGGGAGGAAGGCTATATGAAAATAATAAAAGGAAACCAGCATGACAAGTTGATTAAAGAACTGTTTTCTTACAGTGTTTCCAGAACTGCAATCATAAAAGCCTTTTTGATGATTGTAAACTTTCCTCTTTTAACTATGTGAGGTTTTAAGGTTGTGAAGAAAAGAAACTTCAAAAGACAGAACTTATCTTCCAGGTATATAGTAAATAGTGAGGCTTGGTCAGTGTTGAAATAATCTAGCAAAATGATTCTGTGACTCTAGTCAGTCACCCAAGGTTGGCATTCAAACATTTGTAAGATTTTGTCCTTGGTCTCAAACTTGTTGGCGAGTTGGGGATGAGAGACAAATAGTTATAAACAACTGGTCAACAATTTCTGAATTTCGTGATACTATTCAGGGAAGTCAATGCTTAGAAGAGTTTTGAGGTATAAAAGGGGCACCACAGAGAAGGTGAGACAACATAACTTCATAAGTTAACAAAGGGTAGTAGAGCATTCCAGATATGGGAACTGTCATTGCGAAGACAAAGTCCCTAGGCATGTTAGGAATGGTGAGGAACCCCTGACCCTGCTAGAGAAGTATGTATTATTTGGCAAATCCCAGGAAATAACTGCTTGGTTGTTGTTTCACTGAATCATTAGTGCTTTTGAAAGGCAAGCAAAGGAAAGGCATTTTGTTGTTGTTGTTGTTGTTTGAGTTTGTTGTTTTTTAATCTTCCTAATGTTGGAGGGAAGGACTGGTGGACAGTATTAGAATAGATGGAAGTAGAAAATTAAAACAAAATGGAGGAAACAATTTCATCTGTGATGAAAGAGCTGATGCTGGGGGAGACTAAGGTGAAAAACGATCAGTTTGTGTCGTTTGTAGGGACATGGATGAACCTGGAAACCATCATTCTCAGTAAACTGACACAAGAACAGAAAACACCGCATGTTCTCACTCATGGGGGGTGTTGAACAATGAGAACACATGGACACAAGGAGGGGAGCATCACACACTGGGGTCTGTGAGAGGGAAACGGGAGGGACAGTGGGGGGTGGGGAGTTGGGGAGGGATCACATGGGGAGAAATGCCAAATATAGGTGATGGGGAGGAAGGCAGCAAACCACACTGCCATTTGTGTACCTATGCAACAATCTTACATGTTCTTAACATGTACCCCAAAACCTAAAATGAAAAAAAAAAGAAGGAGCCTGGAGTCAGAGTAGAAGTGACTATGTCTGGAAAGTGACTGACAGAGAAGGCAGGACCCAGGCAGCCTAGGACACCTGCTTAAGGTTCCTCCACAGACTGGAGGCATCCCCACCCTCCCGCTCGCCCATACTCTCTACCTTACCCCTAGTTTGTGATTCATCTGTCTTCCATAAAGAACCTCAAGATGTGGTGTGATGAACTCAGATACCACAGAGCAGGGAGTGGGTCAGTGTCTGTTTGGTCTGGTCCCTTGTGTCCACACCAGCTCCACCAACAGCGTTGCAATTTCCCTTCTCTCTGCCTGTGGTTTCCTGTGCTTTACTTTTTCTTTATTTTTCACTGATTTTCTCCAGTCTGTTTTCATTCTTTGCCTTGGAATGCTCCTTCCTTTCCTAACTACATTTGAATCAACATTTCCACCCATTGTCATTAATCTGTGAGTACCTTTGCTTCTATGACCAAAAAATTCTTATGTGACTAATAAACTCTATACTATGAAAGACCCTTGGAAGCAGATCTTCTAGAGCAGAGCAGGAGACAGTGGCTGGGGTTGGAGCGTGGTTGAGTAATAAGACATGTCTTAAGGACAAAGCCACCATGTGTCTCAGAGGCAGTTCTGAAGCAGTCATGTGCCCGAAATCATGATAGAAAGAAAAAGTAGAAATACATTCACATTGTGGGATGGCACAATTGTGCTAATTAACATATGCATTACCTCACATACTTGTCATTCTTTGTGTGTGTTGAGAACTCTTAAAATCTACTCTCAGCAATTTTCAAGAATACAGTACATATGATTTTTATTCATTAAAAAATAAGAAAAAATGTTTTTTAAAGGAAAGGTAGAATACCAAGAGGGAGGTAAACCAGAGGGAAAAGTAAAGAAGAAAAATGAGAGATTTGTGAGGGAAGAAGGGCTGACATGAGTAAAAGCTTTTCTCTTTGTACAGATATTGTGGGAGCCTCTTAGAGTAATGAACGTCTTCTCTGTCAGGTCCCAGCCTCTCCTTAGACTTTGCTGAAGTCTCTCTCCTGTGAAATGAAGATCATGACAAAACAGAAAATAACTGAAACAAAGGAGAATGATCCTTTGGTTCTGTATACAAAATATGTATATTATATACATATATATTTAATAATATATATACTATATTTCAGAATATATGCATTTATATAGGTACATAATATATTTTTACATAGTGTTTATATATTTTGTATATATAATATATATCTATATAAAATATATAATAGTTATTTCTAAATAGAATAAAAGAACTCTGCACTGAAACATTAATTTTAAATATATAGTTTAAAAAGACATATATATTAAACAGTATAGGTGTTGAATTGAGGTAACAAGTAATTCCATTTACTTGTCTCTTATGCAATAAATTTTGAAATATTTATTGATTTATTTAATATTGCAAAAGAATTTATATGGCTCTGTCCTTAAGAAGTTCTGCATTTAAGAGGCAGAGTTTTTTTTCTGCCCTCAGCCACCCTGGTAAACTAGTGGGCAAACTGTATTTCCCACACTACTCAAACTGCTTCCTTTGATGAATGATAAAAGCAGATTTCTTCTATTATATTCAATGATATTTAATTGGAAAAGGAGAATTGCTGATTTTTATGCAGCATAATTTTAAATTCTGAGTGAACGCACGCTTCCAAACATGCTTTAAAATAATAATAATGTCTTATGTTTCATAATTTTCAGGAGGCTTTTAAATGTATAATACTGGAGAAAACCAGTAATTTCTTGGACTTGCGTCATCATCTTCATTAACATTATCATTGAAATAGGCAGTATATTGATTGTAATCCAAATGGGTTATTATCTATCGCGTGCCCACCTTTTTTAGGGTGTGTTCGGGTCATCTTAACAACAATAGCTCATCTGTTAAGAGTT